TTCTCCCTTGATCAGAAACGTCTCTCGGCATTTACCCTGTCAAAACCCTTAAGAGTCGTGCATGTTTCAATGAGACCACCTCTCATTCTTCTAAACTTCCATGAGTAGAATCCCAACCAGTTTAACCTTTGCTCATAAGACAATCCCTCCAAATGGAGGATCATCCTAGCGAACCTTCTCTGATCTGCATCCAATGAAACATTATCTTTTCTTAAATAAGCTGACCAAAATTGCTCGCAATACTCCAGATGTGGTCTCACCAGCACCTTGTATAGCTGCAGTAAGACTTCCCACTCTTATACTCCAAGCCCCTTGAATTAAGGGCTAGCACTCCATTAGCCTTCCTGATTACCTGCTGCACCTGTGCGCTATCTTTTTGTATTTCAAGCACAAGTATCCACAAGTCCCTTTGTGTTGCAGCTTTCTGTAGTTTTTTATTCTCCACTTAAATAATATTTGTTCTTTTATTCTCTGTTCCAAAATTAACAATTTCACTTGGTACTCATTTGCCAGCTTTTGCATCCACTTACTTAAGATCATAGAATCCCTACAGTGTGGAAACAGGCCTTTCAGCCCAAGAAGTCCACACCAACCCTCAGAGCATCCCACCCAGACCAATCCCCCTAATCTGCACATCCCTGAACACTACGGGCAATTTAGCATGGCCAATGCACCTAGCCTATACATCTTTGGATTGTGGGAGGAAACCAGAGCACCAGGAGGAAACCCATGCAGGCATGGGGAGAATGTGCAAACTCCAAACTGTTGCCCAAGGGTGGAATTGGACCTGGGTCCCTGGCGCTGTGAGGCAGCAGGGCTAACCACTGAGCCACCGTGCCACCCCAAACGTTTCAATGTCTCCCTATAACTGTTTGCATCCCTCTCACAACTTGCCTTTCCATCTATTTTTGTGTCGTCTGCAAATTTGGCCACATACATTCACTTCCTTCCTCTAAGTCATTAATATCTACTGTAAACAGCTACGGTGCCAGCATTGATCCCTGTAAAACCCACTGGTTACAGATTGCCAAACTGCAGAGAAAAACACCTTGTCCCCATTTACTGTGTCCAGCCCATTAGCTAATTTGCTTTCGATGCGGATACACTACCTTCTACATCATGGGATCTTAGCTTACAACTTAATCTTTTGTGAAGTACGTTGTTGAACACCTTCTGGAAGTCCAAATACAATGCATCAACTGGTTCCACTGATCAAAAAGGTATAAAAGAAAGAGTAGAGTTGATTAGAGATCAAAAAAGGGATTTGCATATAGAGGCAACAGGCACAGCCGAGGTGTCAAATGAATATTTTGTATATGTCTTTGCCATAAGCAGATGCTGCTTAGACTATGGTGACACTGGAAGAGAGATATTGCAACAGTGGAAGTATTCAGGTACACTCCTGACTGCCCACAACATCAAGGCCACATTTCACTGAGCGTGCAAGTTAATGTTTCAAATATTTGACGCTTTGTCCGAACCACTGCAGAGGTTCAGCCTGGAAATGTCAACTCTGTTTCTCTCTTCACAGATGTTGTCCAACCTGCTGAGTTTCTCCATTTTTTAAATTTCAGGTTTCAGGCATCCTCAGTATTTTGCTTTCCTAAGCTAGAGAATCAATTCTGGTTCAGTGATGAGCACAGAAAGACATGTCAGCACCAACATACCCAAAAGTAAGAAGTTGATCTGGCAAAGCTACAAAACAGGAATACTTCAATGCCAAACAGCATTAGCAGCAAGTGATACACAGAGCTGAGTGATTCCACAACCAAAGGATCAGATCTAAGTGCTGCTCTCCGGCCATATCTGGACATGAATGGTTGTTGACAGTTAAACAATTCACTGGAAGTGGAGGCTCCACAAATATCCGTACCCTCAATAATGCAGAATTCCAGCACATCAAAAGATAAAGCTGAAGCATTTGCAACAATCTTCAGCCAGAAGTGCTGAATGGATGGTCAATCTCAGACTCATCAAAAGGTGCTCAGCATCACAGATGTCAGTCTTCAGCCAATTCAATTCACTCTACACAATATCAAAAAATGGCTGGAGGAACTAGATGCTGCCAAAGGATATGGGTCTGAATAGCATTCTGGCAAATGGTACTGAAGACTTGTGCTCCAGAACTTGCCGCACCCCTAGCCAAGCTGTTTCATAACAGCATCGATACTGGAATCTACCCAGTAATGTAGAGAATTGCCCAGGTATGTCCTGCATACAAAAAGCATGACAAATCCAAACTAGGAGATTTCCATCCCATCAGTCTAATTTTGATCATCAGTAATAGAAGATACAATCATTACTGAGCGGCATGTGTTCAGCAATACCCTGTTCACTGGCTCTCAGTTTAATATTCGCCAGAACCACCCTGCTCCTCACTTCATTACAACTTGAGCACAAACACGACTAGAATTCAAGAGGTGAGGCGACGGCAATTGCCTTTCACACCAAGGCTGAATGTGACAAAGTGTAGCATCAAGAAGCTCGGGCAAAACTGGAGTCAATCAGTATTGGATGAAAACTCTACACCGGTTGGAGTCATACCTGGCATGCAGAAAGATAGTTGTGGTTGTTAGAAATCAATCATCTCAGCTCCAGGAAATCTCTGCAGGAGTTCCTCGGGTAGTGTCCAAGACCTTCCCTCCATTACAAGGTCAGAAGTGGGGATATTCGCCAATGATTGTACAATGTTCATACCATTCACAACTACTCAGATACTGAAGCAATCTATGTCCAAATGTCAGGCAATGTCGATTTCCAACAAGAGAGAAGCAAACCATCACTCCTTTACACTCAATAGCATTACCATCACTGAGTCCCTCACTATCAACTTTCTGAGGATGAGCACTGACCACAAACAGAACTGGACTAGCCATCTAAATATTGAGCTACAAAAGCAAGTCAGAGGCTCAGAATCCTCCGTCAAGTAACTCACCCCGTGATTCTCCAAAGCCTGCCCACCATCAATAAGGCACAAGCCAGGTGTATGATATATCACTTGCCTAGATGAATGCAGTTCCATAAACACTCAAAAAGCTCAATACCATCCAGGACAAAGCAGCCCGCATGATTGGCATCACATCCACAAATATTCAGTCCCTGCACCAATGATGCTCATTAGCAGCAGTGTGTTCCATCTAAAAGATCCTCTTCAGAAATTCACCAAGATTCCTTATATTGCAACTTCCAAACCCACTACTATTTCCACTACTATAACACGGGCAGCAGATACATAGGAACACCACCACCTGCAATTTCCCTTACAAGCCACTCAGCATCCTGACTTGGAAATATATTACCGTTCCTTCACTGTCGCTGGGTCAAAATCCTGCATTTCAACAACTAACAGCATTGTTGATCTGACTACAGAAAATGGACTGCAGCAGTTCAAGAAGGCAGCTCACCATCACCTTCTCAAAGACAACTAGGGCTGGGCAATAAATGCTGGTCTAGCCAATGATGCCTATGTTTCACGAATGGATTTAAAACAATAAACTGCAAACTGAACTTACATTCTCCTGGGAGTATCTTAAACTGTAAACACAATGGCAAACAGAGAGCAATCAGGGCAAGTGACATATTGGCATTTTCTCCCTTTCAAGAATTCACACAGACAGAGGTTCGAGTAAGCTTCAACCCTGGTCAGCATGTGTCAATGGCCTAAAGTCGGTGTGTGTAGACCAGTGTGTTGTGAGGGCCACACCTCTGAAAACAGCCATTTAAATCCCCCATTCTGCAGGTAAATAAATAGGAAAAGGACTCTTTTTCACTCTGTGTGCTGCCAGTAAACCACTGCCAAAAGCAATTTGGACTAAAGAGTATCACTCCATCTATGGGTGGCATGGTGGCTCAGTGGTTAGCACTGCTGTCTCACAGCATTAGGGACCTGGGTTCAATTCCACCCTTGGGCAACTGCCTGTGTGGAGTTTGCACATTCTCCCCATATCTGTGTTGGTTTCCTTCTATTCTTAAAAGATGCGTAGGCTAGGTGGATTAGCCATATGGAATGCAGGGTTACAGAGAATAGAGCAGGGGTTGGGTCTGGGTGGGATACTTTCAGAGGGTTGGGATGGACTGAATGGCCTGCTTCCCCACTATAAGGATTCTACAAAGAAGAGTTAAGAATCTTGAAATCAATTATTCAACTATCAATATCAGCACTACCTGTAAACTCTGCTGCATTGACTACATTGTTTGACCATCTGATCTTCACGAACAATTCAAAGGCTCATCTGCATTTTATATAACTTTGTGGACTCACCTCTAATTTCTACAGTGCGCATGTTGCAATGCTATTTCTTCTCACTTTTAGTAATTAATAAACTCAATCTTTTTTTGTAAATTCAAAAAGACTTGATTAAATTAGCATCTTTGAAAAATAAGTTTAATTGGCTATAGTAGAAAAGTATTCAGAGGTAAATTGAAAATTAACCTTATTGTGACCAATGGAAGTGTCATTGAATAACCGAGGGGAGCTCCGTTGGCTGGACAGCTGTCAACATAATGGGTTCAATTCCTGCACCAGCCGAGATTACCGTGGAGGATTCTCCATCTCCCCTCGCACGAGATGTTGTGACCCTCAGGTTAAACTACCACCTATTATCTATCTCGCTCTCTCTCTTTACCGTGGTTTGGTAAGATTGGCAATTGTACCTTCTGGTATCTTACTAATTTTATCATTTGCTAGACTGTCTTTTGTAAATATTATCCACACATAACAAATAGAATATTTTGATATTTGATGTACCGACAGAAAAGAAAGCACATGATCTGAAAATCTCTTGCTCAGTGTGGATTTGAAATGCAATTTTCTCCTCTGACAAATATATTTCAACTTACAAACAATTTAGCAACGATATGATCAAATAAGTATGAATATACTCTTTCTCCACTTCTAACCCAGCATTGCACGATTGCCAAGAACTCCAAATTCAGACAAAGGAACTGCTGACAATATCATTATTAAAAGACAGTATAAAGTGTAAAACAATTGTCCTTACCTTAGTTTCTATAGAATCCATTTGCAGTACTATCCAGTTGGATTTTCAATGCTGTTAATTCTTGTAATCACTTCGCCTATTCCTTGTTTTCTTATTAAGACATTATTGACATTCCATTCACATATTAAAAAAGATAAATTGATTTTCAAACTGATGTAGCCCAGGTCTGTCATGTGGAGTCCTAGGATGGCAATGAACCTTCTGGAGTTACACTGACTTGATTGAGTACGGTATGAATGCACAATGCCTACTGTCTTGTTCACTGCAAACAGAAAGTGGAAGACCTCAGTCAGAAATCTTATCAGAAACTAAAGAAGACTCATGCCACACTCAAATATCAAATCTATTTCTCTCTACAAATGCTGTCAGACGTGCTGAATTTTCAAGCATTCTCTGTGCTTTTTTTCAGATTTCCAGCATCTGCAGTATTTTTCTTTTATTAAAAACAAATATAGTTCCTGCTATCGTTTCACAGTTAGTTGTATTGAACATATTATTAAGGTGGAGCACTAAAATACCTAGATGATGACACTGGACTAAAAACATCTTGTACAGTAGTATCACATAATATAAAAACCAATCAAATTTATGGGCCGAGGAGGGGCAGATGGAGTTTAATTTAGATAAATGTGAGGTGCTGCATTTCGGAAAGGCAAATCAAGGCAGAACTTATAACCTTAATGGCAAGGTCCTGGGGAGTGTTGCTGAACAAAGAGACCTTGGAGTGCAGATTCATAGCTCCTTGAAAGAGGAGTCACAGTTAGATAGGATAGTGAAGAAGGCATTTGGTATGCTTGCCTACTGGTCAGTGCATTGAGTGTAGGGGTTGGGAGGTCATACTGCACATTGGTGAGGCCACTTTTGGAGTATTGCGTGCAATTCTGGTCTCCCTGCTATATGAAGGATGTTGTGAAACTTGAAAGAGTTCAGAGAAGATTTATAAGGATGTTGCCAGGGTTGGAGGGTTTGAGCTATAGGGAGAAGGTGAATAGGCTGGGTCTTTTTCCATGGAGCGCAGAGGCTAAGGGGTGACCTTATAGAGGTTTATAAAATCATAAGGGTCATGGATAGGGTAAGTAGTCAAGGTCTTTTCCCCTGAGTGAGGGAGTCCAAAACTGCAGGGCAAAGGTTTAAGATGAGAGGGGAAAGATATAAAAGGGACTTAAGGGGCAACTTTTTCACGTAGAAGGTGGTCTGCGTATGAAATGAGCTGCCAGAGGAAGTGGTGTAGGTTGGTATGACTACAACATTTAAAAGGCATCTGGATGGGTATATAAATAGGAAGTGTTTAGAGGGATTTGGGCCAATGAGACTGGATTTATACAGAATATCTGGTCGGCACGGACGAATTGGACAAAAGGGTCTGTTTCTATGCTGTATATCTCTATGACTGTATTAGTGACTTCTGTTGCAATGCTTTGTAAACTAAGAGACTAAGGTAAAGGGCAAAAGCTACTCAGTATTGTAAACAGAGGCATGTCTTTGCAGGGCTCCAATACCAGCATAGAAAAGTTAACGCAGGTCAGAGATCAGATAAAATCACTACAGCCCCAATCCCCGAGCTTCATATTTTCACTTTTATCCTGTAATGGAGCTTCACAAAATAAATTCACAAGTTGGACAGTACAGATGAGGAAACTATACCTTGAGTTTAATGTTTTTGTTTCACCAACCTGAAGAGACTTTTCAGGAAAGAAAGGCAGTGAAAGAGGGAGAAGCTAATCCAGCTTTCAGGTCATAGGAAGGAGAATGAGAAGGAATTTGTGTCTTCAAGAAGCTCTGTTTACAGGACAGAAGGAGGCCACTCAGATAACTGTGACTACTGTGAGTCTTCACAAGAGTGACTGCCTATTCTCTATGGACCTGTAAGATTTCTTTTCTCAGCTGCATATTTGACACCTCTTTTGAAAACCGCAATTATAGAAGTCAACTATGTTTATGTTGAAACAGAAACATGGATAAGAAGGTACATTTACAGTTCAGAAAGAACAAGGGAGGGTTGTTAGAGGACCTTTAACATCCTAACATCGATAAAATGAATGGTGTAATGGAGATAGGTTGGAAACTAAATGAGAAAAGGATCACATATCAGACAACTGGCATTTATCCTCTATCTTGTCTAATAATGCAAGAAATGGACTTGAAAAGCTTCCCCGATATCAGAGTGGTTATTTTAGTCCTGATCAAACTTAAATTGAAGTATTTGGGTGTAAGAAATAAAATTAGGCTTCAAGCAGGCAATGTTAATAACGGAAGATATGTAGCTGCTTCATTTACAGTGAAGGGAAAAATGAAAGCCTAAGTATCTCACAATCAAAAATTACTCTGACTTTTAATCTAAGTGAATAAACTCTTCCTTTGCAGACTCAATGGCCTCAAAATTGTTATAAGTGGAGCAGTTCAATAAATAGAACAAGAAGCATAGTCTGAGAATTAGAGCCAAACCATTCAGGAGAGATGTTAGAAAGCATTTTTACACACAAAGGGTGGTAGAGGTTTGGAACTCTCTTCCACAAATGGCAGCAGATGCTAGATCAGTTTTTATTTTAAAATCTGAGATGAATACATTTTTGCTGAGCTATGGTATTAAGGGATATGGGCCAATGGCAGGTATATGCAGTTAGGCCACAGATTACCCATTCAAATAGGCACAAGGGGTTAATTGGCTTACTCCTGTTCCTATGTTTACAGGTGGGCTGGAGTCATTTCTTTTCCTCCCCATGTGGGCACTAAATTCAAAGGACTCAGGAATATCCCTCGCATCCAGCATGGCTGGGCCATCAGACAATTTAAAATGTAGAAGGCCAGCGAGTATATGCTACATTTAATCCATATTCCATTTATTGAGACAATTAACGCTGCAGAACAGTCTAAACAATGAAATCTGTATCCCACTGGACACTCTGTGCATCTGGAATGTTGCTGAAATGCTGCTGCCTATTGGTGAGACACAACACTGCAATCTTATATTAAGACAATGCTGGACTCTCTGGTTGTGTTTAAAATGGTGCAGGAACCCACCAAGTGCAAGCAAATAATTGTTGTGGCAGGTAGAATTACCACCCCACCAGTTCTCCCGGAATTTAAGCTCCATATTTTAATTGTTGAACTGAAGAGTATGTAAAACACTTGCAATGAACACTAAAGGTATTCAATCTGAAGGGTCTTCACAACTGTTGAGCTGAATCATCAACAAAAGCACAGACAGGATTGAATGATGAACATGCCTGTTTAATATGAAGCAGGTAATAATTTGTCAGCACCATTCCATTCACCTCAGGCCCATTCTACTCGAAGGAGGACCAGGCTGAAAGGGTTATTTGGTCACAAATTGCACATAGCCAATTATGATGTAAAAATCCTCTTAAGGTGGGCTACTCCACAGCACTGGGAATGAAGCAGGGAGACCTCCAGTCAGCACTGCAGGGTGCCAACACTCCACACCGTCATGGAGGTCCTCCCAACATATTTGCCTACTTTGCTGCATCTGCAGCATCAGGTTTTTCTGTGGAGGGTGTTCCCCTCTGCAGTTGTATCCTGATTCCCAGCACTCATTTTGTACTGAGTGAAGGGGGCTTCAGGATGGAGACACCACACACCCCAATCCCTTAAAATCAGCACTGGTTAATCTAGACCATCAGCTTTCAGAGCCTACTTATTATTCCATTATTATTATCGCTTCATGAAGTTCAGGCACTTGTCACTGATTGGCTAGTTCTGAAGATCGCAGCCAGCTGTCTGTTATTATGCAAAGTGAGATGAGCACCCATGGACATCGACACCCCATCAAAAAGCCCAGCCCCTGAGTTAATTTAACGTTAGACCTGAGGATGAGATCGATTAGTTGGCTGGACAGCTGGCTTGGAATGTAACTTAAAGTGTGGTTTCAATTTCTACTCTGGCTGAAATTACCATGAAGGATTTTCCTTCTCAACCTCATCCCTTGCCTGAGTAGTGGTGACTGTCAGGTTAAACCATCAACAAGTGCCTCTTGCCAATGGGATTGAGACCCTCTGGGACTATAGTGGGTTTACTAGACTTGCATTAATAACAACAATTTGAGAGCAAGCTATGGAGCCTCGCATACATATGCAGATATAATATATATCAGCTCATTTGATGATAACTTGTCTTTAGAAATGGAGAGTACTTTACACTCTAAAAGATTGAGGAGCTACCAAACTGTACAGAAGCCATTAATTTATCGTTACACAAAGAACATTGCCTGGGGGGGCTGTTTAATGTTCTAATGTGTGTAAATATTGTTTCTCCTTTACAGTCACTCAACTTTGTATTACTGCAGCTTGAACTCTGCAAGAAGTTCAGTGTAGGCTTGAAAGTGCCCTAAAAGGACCAGTTTCTCCAACTGACTGGCTTTATCCTTCCCTACAGCAGGTAATGAATGCAAATAAAGAAGCTTTCAGGCAAGCATGATTTAAAATTAAAAAGTTTGTAATGCTATATCCAACAAGAGAGAAACAGTATGCGGGCAACATTCCAGGTGTGGTATGTTGACAAATAATTGGTCGCTAACAATAAAGTGAATAATTTCGTTATGACATGGACATAAACTGTGACTTGATAATTTTTCACACGAACCTGAACGACTGGGTAACTAGAAATTCTGCTTAAGTCAGCAGTGGCAGTGTGCTGTACTGATTTTATACAATGTACTATACTGCTCAATCAATCCTATAGTCAACGTGGGGAAAATAGTCAGCAAAAATATGTCAATTGAAAAATTATTTTAAACAGATTGCAATGCCAGATCCAACCAGACAGAAACAGCATTTGGACAAACGGAGTCTTAAAACCAATCGATGTGACCTAAACTGTATCACAGAGCCATACAGCGCAGAAGTGGCCCTTCGGTCCATCTGCGCCTACCTTTCTAATCCACTACTTGATCAAAAGTTGCAGCTTTGTTCGCTGAAGGGAAATAGGAGATATTTTCGAGTGGTGTAAGGCGACCTGGCCAGGAGCTGGAACAGGGGTCACTAATGTCGAAATGTTAACTCTCCTTTCCCTCTGCACAGACGCTGCCAGGCGTGCTGAGTTTCTCCAGCAATTTCAGGGGTTTTTTGGCCAGTGGCCAGGGGCTGCGTGCGTGCCACTCTGTACCCATTTGGGTGCTCACAGTCATTCAGGAAGAGTCTGCACGATAGACGGTCCAGTTGTCCACTAGCAAACCAGCGGGAAGTTTGAAGTCTCTACCCATGGCCCGCCAGTCTGAAACCGAACCACAATATTCCCCCTAATCGTCAGCCCAAAAGTGCCCGGACGATTCATAACAGTTAAACCTTTACATACCTTCTCGGTTCACCGCGAGTGTAGTACTCTCCAATGTCCGGGACATCGGATTCTGAGGAGGGTCGTTCATTCAAAGTGTTTCTATATATTTTTTTAAATCCACAACATATGCTTTCAGAGCGAGGGCTGTTGTACTCCCACGTGCTCCGATCATTTCAGACAACCTACATTCCAGGAGGAAAACACTAAGAGCCATCGTTCGCGATATTTAATGTCCACTTGATTGACCGCTATCTACATTCGCAAAGTGCAACTGCATTCATTTCAGCTCGTCTGGACAAGGAAACGTAACAATAATTGACCAGTTACCCCCGCTAGACTTTTTATCTCCTTAGTAGAAAGAAAGTCTGTGCTTCCGGCTGAGGCGAGGATGCCGCAAAAGCAAGTTTTCTGAAAAGTGCACATTCAACTTTCGCTACAGTCTCGTTGCATTTGTTTCTTTTTTGTTGTCGTGGTTTTCACTGCATTCTGTGAATGTGGCCTGAAGTCACCTCCGATGATTGTCGATCATTCGAGTCTTTGACAATCTTTCACAGTATGGGGGAGGGTGGTTAGGAGAAAAGAAAAAGTTCTCAAAAGTTCACAGTTCTGATTTTTTTTTGTGTGGACAGACCAGGAATAAAAGTGCAAAAAGCCAAGTTGTGTATAACAGGGTTACTTAACTCGAAACCACAGCCACACGTCAATAGGTTTAGGAAAATTCAACAGTGTTCTTCCCATTTCTGATGGGTTGATGTTATACTTAAATGTTACCTGCCACCCTCCCCAAACTGGGCTCTGAAAGTGACTCACTCCAACTTTTGAGAAATCTGGAGGCTGCTTCTGAACAGGCGCTCGACACAAGTTCAGCTTCTTTCGCTGTGTTCCTCTCCTTATCAATCTGGCTGCCATCCTAACTGCTATCTGCCGAATTGGTTTTGTTCGTGTGACTAACCCGCCACCTGCTTATCAGTTACTGCCGGTCGGAAGTTAGCCTTTCCCTGTCAAACGTTTTATTTTGTTAAAATTCCTTTCTTTGACTAAAAGTTTTTTTTGAGTGCTTTATCAATGCTGAGTCCAGATTAATTTAAAGTACCGAAACAGATTTGTCATAATTTCAGTTTTGGCTTTAGTTAAAGAAAGGCTGTGTAGCGTGATAATTTCCTTGGGCGAGTACCAACAGTTTGACTCGATCGTAGACTGTACTCTCCTGATGAAAAGCAGAAAGGCCAGATTTAAAATGTTTGAGCCCTTCAGCAGCTTTCCGGTGATGCCCTACACTGTTGAAACTGACTTGGGGCTATCTTTAACGAAGAGTTATAAAAAGAGGCATGACTCGTGATTTTGGGATATATCACTGGGAAGTCGCGGTGTAAAAGAAAAAGGCTAACGACCCCACACGAAATTAGGAAGCGTGTCCTGGGTTTGAGCTCAGGAGCCTGGTTGCCACATGCATTCTCAATCCGCCGATAAAGTGTCAAAAACTTTAATATGTGTTTTTTTTTGTTTTGATCTCCGTCTGAGAGCGGACACAGTGCAAAAAGAAAGATGATTTCTCCAGCCACGGGGCACGGCGGTCTTTATGGTGTCTCTCCTGTTCGCATGCACCGCCCCGACGCGGACTTTGCTTTATTTTTGTTTGTTTGTGTGTGTTTTTGTTTTCAGTCTACAATGAGAGAGAAACTTTTCCCGTTAGATTGTGGAGTTCACTGCAGTCTCTGTGCGCCGCTGCTGAAGCACTGAACAAGGGGGGAGAGAGAGAGCACCGTGCCTTGACAACAATTTTCTCTCTTTTATTTTTCCTAAAAAAAATAGGGTGATAAAGGGAATCTGAAGCGCCCAAGCGGTGCTCACACGTCGGTCTCCACCGCTTTGAGGTGCAAGGCGTTGGGTTTGGCGCTCTCTTTGCCGTTGCCTTTGGATTTAAGGCACAGGGACTCGCGGAGACTCTCGTCCATCTCCATATAGTCCGACTTAGCGCCTAACGACGAAGAGGAGCAGGAGGGTCGCCGGAGCTTGCGGAGAAGCGAAGGGCAACTGGTGGGAGCTGTGGCCGACGCCGGAGCTTGCTCCTCGCTCTCGGTCTCCCGGTGGTAGAAGTAGTTGAAGTTGGAGACGATAACGGGGACCGGGAGGGCGATGGTGAGCACCCCGGCGATGGCGCACAGGGAGCCCACGATCTTGCCGCCCACCGTGATGGGCTTCATGTCCCCGTAGCCCACCGTGGTCATGGTGACCACCGCCCACCAGAAAGCGTCCGGGATGCTGGTGAACTGCGACTTGGGGTCGTCGGCCTCGGCGAAGTAGACGGCGCTGGAGAAGAGGACCACGCCGATGAAGAGGAAGAAGATGAGGAGACCCAGCTCCCTCATGCTGGCCCTCAGCGTGTGGCCCAGGATCTGCAGGCCCTTGGAGTGCCGCGACAGCTTGAAGATGCGGAAGACCCGCACCAGGCGGATGGTCCGCAGGATGGCGAACGACATGGCCTGCTGCCCGTTCGTCTGCCGATGCGCCAGGTCGGTGCCGAGCGTGATGAAGTACGGCACGATGGAGACCACGTCGATGGTGTTCATGAGGTCGCGGAAGAAGGCGGGCTTGCTGGGGCAGGCGAAGAAACGCACCAGCAGCTCGAAGGAGAACCACACGATGCACACCGTCTCCACGATGAAGAAGGGGTCTCCGAAAGTGGAGGCCAGGGGCCAGCCCGCCGGCCGCCGGGTCTGGTTGGCGGGAGAGCCGCTAAAATCGGGCGGGAAGTCCTCGTCCCGGAATTCGGGGAGGGTCTCCAGGCAGAAGATGACGATGGAGATGAGGATGACCAAGACCGAGACAATGGCGATACCCCGGGCGGGACTCGAACTCTCCGGGTACTCAAAGAGGAGCCAGACCTGGCGTTTGAACTCATCCTCAGGTAAGGGTCTCTCAGCCTCTTTGACCAGACCCTCTTCCTCTCGGAACTTGAGGGTCGCCTCCTCCCCCAGCTCGTAGAACTTGACCTCCTCACAGAAGATGTCGAACGGCACGTTGGCCGGTCTCTTGAGCCTCCCTCCCGACTGGTAATAGTACAGAATCGCGTCGAAACTCGGCCGGTTGCGGTCAAAAAAGTACTCGTTCCTGAGCGGGTCGAAGTAGCCCATGCGGCGGCCCGGGTCGCCCAGCAGAGTGTCCGGGAACTGGCCCAGGGTCCGAGCCTGGGTCTCGAACCGTAAACCCGACACGTTAATGACCACCCGCTCGCAACACGCTGCTCCTCCGTAATCTCCGCCCGGCCCCTCCGCCGCCCAAGGCGTCCCCTCTCCGTCCATGGTCCGGTAACGGTGCGGGGAATCGCAGTGAGGACGGCGGCTGCACTCAGGACCATCCCCCTCCTCCTCCTCCTCTCCCACCTCCTCCTCCTCTTCCCTCCGCCCCTCCTCCCGTCTTCCCTCCTCCTCCTCTTCCTCCTCCTCATCCAACCGGAGGCGCGAACCGATCTCTCCCGGCCGATCCCGCCTCCTCCTGGTCTCCCCTCTCTTCTTCCGCTGCTGCCGGCCCCCTCTCCGCCACCTCCTGCCCCCGTTGTTGTGGTTGCACGGGGTGGGATCCCGGCCGCCTACTCCCGCTCCCGCCGCCGCTTGGTGGCAGCTGTTGGCGGCGGCGGCCGCTCGGGAATTGGCGAGGCGCTGGGCGTAACCGTAAGGCGGGTGGGTGTTACACCCGCTCCCTTCCACACTCACCATCGCCACCTCCATGTCCTCGTCTCAATGAAGTCAGCCTCAAGAAACTACCAGCAGCGACAGAGAACTCACAAACTGTCTTCTTGTGTGTGTGTGTGTGTTTGTGTTCCAACAAAACTGTTTCTCCTCTTTCTTCACAAAATTGTCTTGTGTGTGTTCCAACAAAACTGTCTCTCCTGTTTCCTCACAAAATTGTCTTGTGTGTGTTCCAACCAAACAGTCTCTCCTCTTTCTTCACAAAATTGTCTTGTGTGTGTTCCAATAATAGTCTCTCCTCTTTCTTCACAAAATTGTCCTGTGTGTGTTCCAATAATCCTGTCTCTCCTCTTTCTTCACAAAATTGTCTTGTGTGTGTTCCAATAATACTGTCTCTCCTCTTTCTTCACAAAATTGTCTTGTGTGTGTTCCAATAATACTGTCTCTCCTCTTTCTTCACAAAATTG